TTCCTGCTATCCATGCTCAAGCCCCAAAGAGACCAACACAAAAGTCTTTAACATTTTATTAATGATCAGCAACAAAGTTTACAACAGAGAGAACAGACCCGGCCTGGCAAGACTGTCCAGCAGAGCCCAGGGAGCAGCCCAGGCCAACCCCCACAGCACCCTGGGGTGTAAGAGGCAGAAAGGGGCTCGACCCAGCACCCATCCTCCTCAGACCCTGCACCTCCCTGCAGGGGCACACGTGCCACAAGTCAGCCCTCACAAAGAGCTGTGAAACATCAGCTGACAACGCCCCTCCCTCAGGTAACCAGCAGGCACAAGGTGGACTGGGGCAGCAGCAGCAGTGGCTCTGAGCACACTCTACAGACGGCACCGGGTCCTGCCCTGAGCCCCCAGGAACCCCACGGGACAGAGGGGCCCTGTGCCAGCAGCCACCCGCCTCCCTCAGCAGCTGCTGTGCCCCCGGGGCAGGGAATGCTCTGCTGGCACCAGCCCCCAGGGCGAGGTTTTCTCCAACCAAACCCAAAGCAGCTTCTTATCTGGTGTTTGTGCAGAGGCAGCAGCTCGGAAGGGGCAGCACGGTGAGCTCCAGGGCACAGGCCTGCTGGCACCTCCAGCAGCTGCATGCCAAAAGCTGTGGGTGCCGTGTCCTTCTCCAGGGAGCCACTCTCCTTCTCGGCAGTCTGTCCAGCTGCCCTCAGCACCACCTGCAGGGCTGCTCTGGGATGCAGACACCAGGCAGCACAGCCGAGCCTGGAGGGGCAGAGGGGGCCTGGGCGGCTGCTCCATTCCCCTCCTACTAAAAGCCAGAAATGGCAGAAGGTAAAAGCACATCAACATGTTAAAACATTAGTTTTAATTAAAACTGTGTGGTCTTTTGTGTTTTTCTGTTTTTTTTTTTCTTTGTCAAATCTCCTCATAGGGAAGGGGACGGGGGCTGATTTAATGGAGGAAAAACTAGGCAGCAGGATCCCGACTCTTTATGTCTGCATAATTAGTGCAGGAGGAGCTAGGGCAGAAGAGGGTAGGACAGCACATCCTGCTTGCCAGCAGCCACGTCCCTGCTCAGGGGTCCCCTCTCAAAGAGCTGTTGGCTCCCCAAGAGGGTGAGGCTACGGCGCTCTGCGACCCACACATCAGCTCTCACTGGCCTAGTGCTTCTCCTCCAGTCTCTTCATGGCCTCCAACACTGCCAGCTCTTTTGCTTCCTTCTTCTGGTTCCTGGCTTCAAACTCCAGCCTGCATCAATCACAAAATGCCGTAAGACTCTCACTCACCCTCTCACCCATCCACATCTCTAGCAGATAAAAGCCCCCGAGCAGGGTAGCACTGCCCTCCCCTGTGCTGCTTTGTTCTGAGTGCACTTCAGGAACCTCACCAGCAACCCCAGGCCCCTCCTGAAGAGCCAGCACCCAGAGCTCCTGTAACCATCCCCATCCCACACTGGTCAGACATGACTGACCTCTCCTGCTGCAGGAAGTGCTGCCCCCCCCTCCTGCCTGTCCTGGCACTGCCCACTCAGTGCCAGAACACCCCCATCAAACGTACACTGACTGAGCCACTGCCACTGAAGGGGAAGGGCTCGGGCCTAAAAAACCAAAGCTCTGAAAGAAGCAACGTGCTTCTTTCCCCAAGAATGCAGCAAGGAAAATTAATCATTAATAGAGGAGGAAAACACTAGAACATGCTGTGAAGGTGAAGCACATTCTGACATGGCAGAGCCGAGCTGTTCCTGTCCAGCCCACCCACACCTGAGCAGCCTGCCCAAGCTATGGAAGGCGAAGGGCTCTGTGCCTCTGGACAACCCCTTCACCTCCCGTTCCACCCCAGTAACTGGACCTCAGACCAGACAGACAGAACAACATGCAACAGAGCTGGGAGATGAAAAACATCAACCTGTTCTTGATGATTCTTTGCACAATTAAATCCGTGGTGAGGTTGCTGCCACTGTCCACCAGCTGGAAGATGCCACGTCTCCTGGGCTCCTGTCAACACAGAGCTGTGAGACACAGCACCCAGGGCCACGGCCCAGGGCAGAGCTGAGCAGGAGCAGGGCAGGACCCGTGGGCGCCCAGCCAGCTCCTGGGAGGCAGAATAAACAGCTGCTGAAAGCAGAGCCCCAGGTACCAGGAAGCTGAGCAAGGACTGGCATCGAGCAAAGGTTACAGGATTTCTCTCTCTGCCATGAAAGCATCAGGAACAGGCAAAACAAAACAGTGACTAAAAAACTGGAGCTGTTGTGAGTGATTAGCAGGCTCTGCTCTAAGCAGCTGCCCTCAGGCGTGGACAAGAAACAGCACCACTTGCCCAGGACTTGCTTGGGCAGCATTCTGTGCAGCACAAGCTCTCAGCTCCGAGCGCACACCGAGCCGTGCTCAGCCCGGCCCGTGCTGGCAGGAGCTGGGCTGGCAGCAGTGGGCAGCTCACCTCGTAGGGGTCAGAGCCATCCTTGTCTGGAACCACCTCTGTCATCCCGTGGCACACCAGTGTGACCTGGAGAAGGGCACAAAGTTGCTGACAAGATCCAAAAGATGACAGGGACCTTCCCTGCCACTGGACTCACCGCAGCACGGGTGGGAGACAGCAAAGCCACCCGTTCTGCACCAGGCTTGGCAGGGCACCCGGAGCTCCCCGTAACCCTCCTGAGCAGGAACATCTCTCCTTTACACCCCTGTGTTCTCCTGCACTACTTTAATTCCTTAAGTATATCACACTCCAACGTCTCTGTGCCCATCTACACACAAAGACTCACCCTGAAGTGATCCAGCAGATCAGCAGTGACAGCGTAGGGAGCTCCAATCACCACTTCTGAGACATACTAGAAAAAAAAATAAATGAGGTAAAGAGTCCAGATTTGAAAACAAAAAATAACCAAACAAGTAAAACCCAAACCAACCCAAACCAGAGGCCAGTCTGCTTCCTAAGCAGTCTTGGTTAGGTCCTCTGGTTACAGCGTTAGGAGCTCAGATAAGGGAGCAGGAGAGCAGGTTTAGAAGCCACTGCTCGCCACACAGCATCTTGTTCCGAAAACAGAACATGCTTCCTGGGAGTGTGTGTGTAGCAAATCCAAGAGCTGACTGCTCAGGGCACACGGTTCTGGGCCTCCCAGCATTCCTCCCCGAGGAGTTTTCTCCCCAGTGCAGGGAGCAGGGGGTGTTCTACAAGCTGGTGTCTGTCTCTGCGCAGAGCGGCGCAGCCCCTGCAGGGCTCCTGACCCCTCCCACCGCTGGGGCAGGGCTGGGCACCTCAGAGCTCTGCCCACCCAGGGCCACTCCCCCCAGAGCACCCCGGGCAGCCCAAAGCAGCATCCTGCTTTTGCCTTCTCAGTGCACAGCGAAGAACTCGTGTGAGGGTGTTGGCTACGGGTGAACACCCCCAGGTCCAGGCAGCCCCTGGCCAGGCGCAGAGGCACCGCCCCCAGGGCACTCACCCTGCAGGCCAGGACGCTGAGTGTTCTCTCGTGGATGTTCATGATGGGGTAGTTCTTCCCTTTGTAGCGGTTCACTTCCTAAGGCAAACACCAGGCTCAGTCAGAAGAGAGACAAAGCAACTCCCTTCCCTCTCACTGTCTCCCAACATCAACCTCCCGTATTGGCCAACAAATCCTTCTCCTGCCTGCCAGAGCAGAGCCTGCTTGTTTCAGAGAGAGCAGGGGCAGGTCGCTCTGTCTGTGGACAATGTTCTATAAAGACCTGGTCAAAGTGCAGCCCAGCGATGATGTAGGGTTTCTCTGCCAGCTGGTGAACCTTCTCCAGGAAATCCACGTGCCCGATATCTGTAGAACTGGTTGAGGAACTGAAGCTAAGAAGGAAGACAGGGAAAGGTGGGCAGAAACATGCACTGAAAAACCTCAGTGGGAGACAGGAACATCAAGGATTTTTACTTTTGCATTACTTGTTGCCTATGGCCTAAGAACACTTGCCTCCTTTCCCCTCAGGTTCCACAGGTTCTGGGCAAAAGCCAGACTCCTCTGCAGCTCCCTCTTACACAGACTCAGCATTGCCCCTCTCTGGAATTTCTACCCGTTTTGAGCGTTCTGGCACAACGCCTCAAAGGCTGTCCCAGGGATGAAGCAGGCACCCTGTGAGGTCACTTGGTCTACGATGGGCAGACCTCCAGAGGGACTAGACTGTGACCACCAGAGTGTGGGGAGTATCTGTCTTCCTGAAATCCTCCAACGGCCACAAATCCCCCCTGGAGAGGAGCCACAGCTCCTTTCTCAGTGATCCATGACTACAAAACTGCCAGCAAGAACTCCTGCATGCACACCTACAGGAAAAAAGGCAAATAGCATAGTCTGGTGCCTCAAAACTAAAAAGAATAAACAAAAAAAAAGACCAGTGCTACTTTCTTGACACAACAGAGTCAAGGATACGGAACAGGTCAAAGGCTCCAGCCACGTAGATGATGGTGTCTCCTGGCTGTGGCTCCTTCCCTGACGCAAACTGAATGATCTTCTGAGATGTCTGCAGGAACTGTGAGACACCAGTCCAGGGACTGTGGCCTTTCGGCCCCTGGAAAACACACACCACACACGTTTCCTCCTCGGGCTCCAGGGCAGGGTCTGGACACACAGAAGGCAGCTGCCAGCAGCTCATTTGCCTGAATTCACTAGCAAGGATCACAGCTCTTAGAGCTCAGACTTTCTATATTCCTGGCACCAAATATTTGCACACATATCATTAATGATTCCATAAAAGCCCTTTCTGCTCTGTCAAACACGGCGTAGCTCGTTCCCTCAACAGCCAGCTCAGAGATGCAGAGGAGAAAGCTCACGAAGGAGGAAGGCAACAGGGCAGTCTCAGGCTGCCAGCAGAGACAGGCTTGAGGACAGACGACACCCAGCCGACCTATGCTCCTCCCTCCCAGTGCCCCGTGCCAGGCTGGCAGGGAGTGCCCGCAGCTCCTGCCAGGGCCGGGCTCCAGCCCGCAGACACCACATGGAGCTTTATCCCCACCGAGTGGCAGCTCTGGAAACA